ATGCTACATAACTCAACAAATAGGCACATATTATAGATATAAAAATATATTTGACAGTTTAAAATAGATACAATATTAACGATTCTTAAGTTTTTATAATAAACAGTTTATTATTAACAAATTCATATTTTGTATAGTTTAATTTGTTATATCTTCATAGAACATTGCCATAAAATTTAAATTCCTTGTAAAAATATTGATGTGGCTAGTATTTTCTGCTTTCATGTTAGCTAATCAATTAGTATATTAGTAAATATATGACATTTTTAACGACGGTCATAAGCGTGATGAGTCTGGTGAGCTGTGAACAAATTTAAAAGTTTGTATAACTTCCCTCCATAGTTGATGGTCATATCATTTAAGTAGAAAAAAGAACTGAAACTTACGTTTGTAAAATTCTGAAAAATTCACATTAGGTAGTAAAGAATGTGCTTTTTGTAAAACAGTTGCTTTTGGCGCTGAAGAAGCTGTTGTATTCCATATCTAAAAGCAAGTAAGAATTTTAATAAATGTTAGAGTACCATTTGTTAATTACATTCGATCATTAAATAATTAAAACATTACTTGAATTATGTCTTCCCTGTCCCTAATCGACACAGTTACTCCACAGACATCATCATCCTCAGCCACACATTCTGCAAATTGTTCTCCAATAGCTGCAAGCACCATTTCCTTCCAAATTTTATCCTACAAATATTTTTGATAGAATTATTATTATGGTGTTTATAATGATTGAAATGATGTTTAAGATGATGAAAAGAAAGTCTTGATTCATACAGTATCAGATTTATGGCACTTTAATCTCCATGTTCCACCATGTTGATTAACCGGTTCCTCCCACAACGGATATCTTTCATCTCTCATTAAATGATAACTATATTTAACCTGGAATTAAAAAAAATATGTCAATAAATATATTAAATGTAACCATTAGTAATTCACTATTCTCTTCTGTTTCATATAGATTAAATTTAAAATATGTTCCTAGTATTTTGTTAGTGTTCTAATTTTTTATAGCAGAATAACAAATAGAATGTACCAACCTGCATAGCGCTAGCATTTGGTATATTATTGAAGACTGCCCAAAAACTCTGTACTGTATTCACAGTATAAATCTTCGTCAAATTTTGTTTATATTCTTCAACAGTTGTGCCCGATGCAACTCTGTCAATTTTATAAATTTCCTTACTTGTATATATATGTACACACAACACACACACATTATGAATGAGAAATAATGTTTGTTCTATGCAGGAATCTTTCATTACATCAATTTTGAAATATAATTAAATAATATATAACAGATATAAGTTTTCAAATAATATCATTAATTACAAAATTTGTATTAATTATTCTTATCATTATTTTAAAACTTCAATGTCAGATGTAATTGAAATTAAAGTAAAACTCTGAAAATGTATTCTCATTATCAATGTGAAACATGAATATAAAAAATAAATTGATAAAACATGAATTTATAATATAAGGTTCAAGGTCTATTTAAACTTATCAAATATATATTTGGATGGTACATGTACTATACGCCTCTTCACGGTAACTCCATCAACCACCAAGCTAAAAGTGCACAGGGGCAAGAGGACCCTTCCACTCACGAAGCTCGATTTCACTTCCGTCTTTTGTTATTGCCGCGCGTCAATAATGATCATGCGTCGAAAGGTGAGGCGGCTCGGGCATCATGAGAGAAAGAGCCCCTTGGCCCCAACCACTTTTAGCTGGGAAACTGATGAGAACTAACGTGAGAGGTGAATAGTATCTTTCTATATATTACACATTACAAAACAGTACTATAAATTGTTACTTTAATCATTTTATTCCATTTCTGAAAACCTCTATTTACATATTGTATTTCATTCCTTTCAGTTCTTTGCATCAGCAGTTATTCTCTCTTCTCGTCATTATCATAGTTGTGCGCGTACCGACATACGTTAACTACAATATTAAATATAATTAAATGATGTTTACAATATTTCTTATTTATTTATTGTTTCAAACCAGGAAAGTCCTTCTGTTATTTATAATAGTACAACGATATCTAAAGACGAGTATCATTTATGTAAGTTTCAGTGACGTTTCGCAAAAGAATAAAAACAAAAAAGGAGAAAGATATGCAATTCACAGCGTTCTGGATTCGAAATATTACGCAGTAAAATATAAATACGTGTCCTTACTTGCCCAACCAGAGAGTCCAAGGAGTTTGCAATGGTATTCCCAGCGATTCATGTTTTTCGATCGTTTTTACAGTGTCATCCGAAAATACCGGCGTTTTCGACAAATCCGTTGAGTTGTTGTCTTTCGATTCGCACTCCACTGCGGCCATATTCGAAACGACGAGAAATATGTGGCACCACCAAGAGGCGACTCTCCAAATACGATTCCCGCCACCTTTTATAAAGCGAAAGAACCTCCAATTCCGATTCCCGCCGCTTTGTACAAAACAGAAGAATCTCTAATTCCGACATTCCGACTTTTTGAGAATAGAAGACTCGAGAGAAGCGAACCGATCGTGTTTTCGTTCGCGATAGCAGATATTTGTAACGCGCGTGGAAACTAGAAAGACGTAAGCATAAAGACGAGTACGAAACATCAGTTGTTAAAATGTCACAGCGTTAGCCTATCCCGATTTTGCATAATCTTTCCGCAATAAATGTTTATGTAAATTATTTGTGCAAAAGTGAATACATCCCTGCCGATATTCCCAACCGAAGAAAAGAAAAAACATTTTGTGTGATAGCACGTAATGCTATAAATACATACTTACACGTATCTGCCGTCATAACGTCAATCATAATGTGATTGGCGCTAAACTCAGTAGTAATTAGAAATTGTCAATATAGATTCATAAAAATTTTACTGATTCGGTAATGAAATTTTTATAAATTTCAGTTATTACAATCAGAACTAATAAGTTTATTATAGATTTAATGGTTTCTTTACCAATAGAGCGTACAAACGAGTGACAGCATCGACGAGAGATAAGATAAACTGAATAACCAATGTAAATTTTTGTCACGCGGTTCGAGAGTGATGAAACCACCGACAAGAAACAGAGTAGACTGAACATCTTGTGGGACTTCATGTTCGGTAGTCTGAAATACCGGTTATGTAAAAAAAAGCAGCATTTTCATATGCCTTCTACGATTAAAAATAGTGAGTTTAAAAATTACAGTCAAACCCATGCATCGGTATCTAATACCTCTAGGAAAAAGCAATTGTTATAACCAAATAGAAATGACGTATACCAAAATTCTCCGAAACTTTGGATCCCTAATCTACCCTAATTCTCGTCGATGACAAAATCACATCGTTATTGACGGTTGATGAAGTAGGAAACTATTGTAAAATTTTAATTTTATTTTGTGCTATTTCTTCAATATATCAAGTGGAGACTTGTTGATATTGTCATTGGGAGATAAATAAATTTTTCAGAAGAATGTTTACATCCTAGAAAATCATATTTGTATTTACATATGATTATTCCATATTATGCAGTGAGCGTTGAAATTAAAATCATTAAAAATACTGTTTTTATACCGTCATTAATTCCCCGATCAAATTCTTTATATATTCTTTTTATATTTGTTTTATAAAGTTTTTGTCTATATTTCACATATGATAATCCCATACGTAATGTACTGCCCTCTACAAAAATCTCAGAAACTATGTAAATTTAAAAGTTTTCATATTGACGCTTAGTTTTAGTTTTACTACTGTCATTCGGCTTGTAGGGCGATGGTTTTTAGGTTAGATCTATTTATGATTTTTATAATTCAGATGTGACACATACATATTTTGACATTGTAATCCATAAATCGTTAAGCAATATCTATGCACTGATTTTTATTCGAACAATAAAGAATATACAAATAGTTTCCTCCTTATTTCAGTTCATGCATTTTTACGTGTTCTCTGATACCACAGATTGTGTAAATGCAGAAAGAATTTTAAAAATAGGAAAACAAAAATATAAATACATAAAACCTATAAACCAGGGCGGAAATGTTTTCTTTTAGCAGTTAAACAATTATTACGATTGTATGAATTTTCAAATGACTTCTACAAATTTATAGAACGTGTAGAAGACATGCGCCAATAAACGATCCGTAAGCCACGCGCTAGTGTACGCTTGCGTTGTACAGAACAAGGAACATAGGAGAGAGAATGAAGGACGGAACGCCGTAACATTGGCACCGTCAGTCTTCTGCGAACTTTCGGTTGTAACGGTTGGGTCGTCGACGGAGTTTCGAGTTGTTTAGGTTTCACGTACAGTAGTAAAGCTCTTCGCGAACTGACAATTCGGACGTTAATAAGGTAGGAAAATTATGAACCATTATCTACATGTTCACTGCCCGTATAACTGGTTTTGATTTATTGACATTATCAACGGTAATCAATTACGAGTTTTGGCAACGTTTCAAAAACCCTATGACAGAACCATTCAAGTGCAACGCAAATATACTTATGAGCATGTGTGAACTTGTCGTTCTTATTTTAGTATTTCGACAGTTTCGTGACCTACTTTTTTTTAACACTTCGATCACAGTTCGTTGATTTTTGACATGCTTTTACTTTGTGTATACCAAGTGCACGCGTGTGGTATATCGAAATTACAATGATTCTATTTATCAATGCTATAATCAAATTAATAATATCTCTACTTGATGAAGTTGATCGGTTGTCTAAGTGCGGAAATATAGTGAGCAACGCGGTCTGCTTGGCAATATAACTTAGTGATTGTACATCAATTAATTCATCGAAAAGTAAATATATGTGCTATTATTTTGTCGACCCCGAAGCGTCATAAAATTCGACTAAGATGCATGATGAATGATTAATCGCGTTACACGGACAGCCGGTTATATTTATAGTCTTGAATGGATGAACGTTCACAATTGATCAAATAAATAAAGTCGAGTTTACTAGTATTTCGTTAACATCCGAGAACGAGACCGAGTGAAGATCAAAGACATGCACGTGTTTGGGTTAACGGTTTCGTTTAAATGGCGTGTTTTTAATAATATAGGAATTTTATTGGTCGTATATTTTTTAAACTAGAAAGTTAACACGTTCGCGACAAGCGTTTGCTTCAGTAGCCATCTTCATATTTACAATATTTTATAAAATGTACGAATCGTTTTGATTAAATGCAAATGAAGTTCAAGGAAGAAATCGCATCAGCTTTCTACACTGTACGCCATACTTTACGATTTTAAATAAAACACACGTGAAGGTACTTTCATTTTCTTTATGCAAAATATAAAATGTTGAGCATCACAAATTGTATGTAATACTGGTCGTGAACGTACTAAACATTTTTCGTAATTAATCGTTTATTTTATTTATTGATTACAAAATGCAATGGCAAATCATTTTTCTTTAATCGTTTCGCGGCGATGCCCGGGTCCATTTTGATTCATGCTTTAGGCGCTTGTTTTGATTTTTGATTTTTCTGCAAAAAAGTCTAGAAAAAATTGAATAATACATACATTCGAAATCGAATTTGACATTGTTTTCGAAAGTGAATCCCATATTTTCAACTTATCTCTTTAACACGTTCGCTACCAGCGTCACATATTTGTGACGACCGTAACCCTATATTTTACATAATGAAAATGAAATTAATCCTATAGATATTGTTATTAGAAATTATAAACTACGACATTATATTTAGAAATTCAATGACACGTTTCAGTTTCATTTTTCTAACATTTTTTTTAGAAGATTTATTGAATTGAAGAAAATATTATAATTGAGGAGACCGTCGCCGAAATAAGCGCTGATAGCGACGTATTAACCCCTTGCCATAAATGACAGTGAGACTCGCGATCAAGATTTCTAGATTAATTTAATAAAAATCAATGTCGTTCGTTGCCCACGAATCAAAGTAAAAAACTATTTGGTATTATCAATGTATTATCTTCAAATCAAATTTCCACTAAGGTAGAATGGACAATTTTGTTGCATTTCTACCAAATGGTTGATAATAAAATATTACACGAGCTTAGTGGAGAAAGTAAATAATACGTCAAGAGGTTAACAAGTACAGTGAATGCCGAGGGCTAAAATAAGATCCGAGTGTATTTTGCAAATTCTGGAATTCGATGGAGTTTCAATGAATCTCATGCGCGAAACGTGTTTTCGGTTAACGACGACGGGGTTACATTAAAATTATCGATCGCGAAGATTATCGTTGACCGATAAGGCGCGCGCGGTTTCACACCCATCCACCGTTTACTGTTATCACCGGCTGCGATACCGTCACGGGAATTCTCATTCCGCGCGGGAGATTGAATATTGATCTTGAACGCGGCCGGAATTAGTCATCGCTTTAAGCAGCCGGCACGGGCTACGCGCGACGCGACCACCAGCAGTCTTTACTCTTCGCGCATTTTTGCAGGGTGTGTTGGATCGACTAGTGCGACCGGGCGTGGCAGAGTTTCTTATGGAAAGATAAGTCAAAAATGTAGAACAAACATTTTATATGTGATCCTTCGTTAACGAGAAATTTAGATTCGCAAGTTTTCTATCCAGGGTAAGTCATTCGGGGGTGAGATGGCCCACTTTTTTCAAAACCATCATGTCATCAATATGAATAGCTAACAAAGAAAAAATGTGTTTATGAAAGTAAATACATAGAAGAAGAATAGGTAATCCTTTACACTCGGAGTCTCAGTTACCAACTGATTCTTGTATAGACCTTCACCGTGGAATTTTTTTGCGCGAGTCAACACTGCAACACGAAGTTTTACTCCGAGATTTTTTGCAATTTAACGCGCTTTAATTTAAATCTTTTTTCACCTTGAGATTATTGTTTTTTTATATAACATAATTAGCTTTATAACAAAAAAGGGTGTTTATATTTAACCTTTTGCACTCCAGAGGTACCTCTCAGTCGTCAATTGATTTGACACAGCAACTTTGTGAAGTTTGATATTTAATATTAAACTTTGTACAATACACATCAATATATGAAACATTGAAATAAAATAATTTTGCTCCTCAACTTGTGTGCGATTTCTCGGCGAAATTGTTTCAGAAAATGTTGGTTGTGTCTCACTATAAAATGTTGAGTATTTCCAGTGAAACGCTTATATTATATACTATAATATACAATAAGGGTTAATAAATATAATGGAGAAGGAAATAATAAACACATACTTATACAGAAATTTTTGCGAACGCACGGCGACTACCGCTTAGGGGTTCAGCTGTGTATAATTGCAATAATACGTGAAACATTAAAATGAAGTAACTTTGTTTCTTAATTCACATATGTTTCCTTATTAGTTAGCGTCGAAGATTGTTGCGTATATCTCATTGGAAAATGTTGAATGTTTCCAGTGAAAATCTTTTGAGTGCAAAGGGTTAAATGCTTTGTGCAAGATTTAGTACAGCACTAAAAATAATTGAAAATATAGGTATATATTCGACGATCTAAATGAGATTGAGCCATTCCAATTGAAACTAAGTACTTACCTTACGCGTGCTTTTGCCATGCTTTCGGTCATGTTGATGACACTGTGATAGTATTACACTGGGTCATTCTCGTGTTTACGATCACGTAAGGCGGCAAGAAAGTCGGGTCAAGCACAATGTTGCTTATGTTCAAACGAAAGCGTGGCAAGTGCACGTGCACGTGTACATGAAATACTTGAAAATCTACGATTCTCGTGAACAAAGTCTTAAGTGAAGAGCTCCACATTTTCGACTCATTTTGTCGTAAGGAATTCCGATTGTGCTACTCGAATCAACACACCCTGTACGTAAATAACATCGCGTATATTTACCCTTTCTAAATTTAATTTCACGGTTCTGATCGTGACTTTAAAGATCACTAGGCGAAACACGAACGAGTTTTCTTACCTGAGCGCAGACGCGTTCCCGCGCTCCCGCGCTCCCCGGGAAACACATCGGAATTTCGATGATCGCGTGAACACGAGGAAGAGGATGAGAATGCATGCACGCACGTCAGGAATTAGGCAATTAAACCTTTCCGGTCGGAGCACTCCGAAAGTGGGCTGGCCGATTGGTCGTACCACTTAATCGGTAATAAATTAACTAATTTATGGTTTATATTTGTTTATTTATCAATTTATATATGAATATGTTTAACATATTTATGGTTTATATGTACTTATTTATTTAACAATTATACATAACTAACTCTCGTCCTCAAAGGTAAAAGTGCCTTGCCGGGTCATACTCGAATTTCGACCGGGAAAGGTTAACCCATTGTCTCGTAACGTCGAGTCGGAAATTTTTCTCTGCGGAGAGAGTTTTAGGTATCCATTGATGAATATCGAGATTGTTCGACGTTCTTTTTTTCTTAGAGATTTCATTATCTTGTTATCGATATTCAATCTTTCAACATAATAAGTGTAGGGAACTCGGATCTAACTGCTTATTGTGCAGCTGTCACGTCCTGAGTCAATTCTAAAAACTAAAAAGTCACAGGGGCAAGGGGACTCTGCCATTCAGGATGCTCGCGTCAATAGCTATAAAACATCAGTTGATATTATTGGTCGAACCGCGTGACGAAGAAAGCAGACGGAACAGAATGCAGTGGAATGAGATGTGACGAACGTTGATGTCAAATTTCGTTTTTACGCGACGACGGTTTTATATGTTTACTGAATCCCGGGACGCGGAGGCTCGGCTACTATGTTTCCAGGAAGGACCGAGGTAGAGTGTGCGGCTGATTTCCCTTGCCCCTATGCACTTTTAGCTTTTGCTGCACAGTACGAGCGTCAGGAATAACGTAATCGAACCCTTACCTTGCAACGTTGGGTCAGACCAGTGTGGCCAGATCGGGGAAATTGAGGGGAACACAGTTTATCCTCTCCCTGGTGTTACAGTAGGGTTCTGCGATGGTTGCGGAAGTTGTTAGACGATGCCCGCTGATGAACAATGATATAGCAGAAGGAGTAAGGCGGAGTGGGGAAAAGGTAACCGTCTGGTTGCTTTTTGGTTTCCCTGGGTTAAATCAGCAAAAAAAATTTTGAACTAAAGCTAACGATTGTCGAGATTGTTTAGATAATCTGCGGTCGGAACGAAATGTTTTTCTGTTACCGATATTAGATCTCAGCAAATGCAAATGTACGATGTGCGTGGTATTTTATGTTTACGGGTATCGAGAATTATACAATCAATCTTTAACCTTGCAATATTGGACTGGACTCGCGATCGAAATAAGGTATTACTTTCTTGTTAATATTTAATCTCTGGATGAAATGTAAATTTACATTTAATGTGGATTATGGATTTCTTTTTTTTCCGCTTGGAAAATCGTTAACGATAAAGTAGCATGCAAT